GTTCGCTAAAGCCACCTCGACAGAGTTCAAGGTTTTAGAGAAGAGTTCGAATTTTGAATTTTGTGTACTCCATAACTATCAAAAAACACTAACTATCAAAAGACGACTATGCTGATTTCGCTGCACGTAAACTAACGATGGTTAGCCATTCGAGTCGTGTTATCATGCCTGTCTTCGTTGGTATTTATTACCTAAATCTAACTCGTTTTGCTAGTCTTCGCCAAAGTTCTAGCTCAGAATGGTAGGAATCGTGGCTCATCTGATCACTACGGGTTAATGCGTGCAGCTGGTGTGCCTATCTGGGGCGGGGGGGGGGGGGCAAGGGTCCTCCTAGCACCCATTGCGTGTCGTCCTGTCCCCCGCCCTTACTGTCGGTGGTGACGTGACACCGCCGTCCCACAACCCGCGCGGCAAACGTTCATCGTGAACATGACCCTTGTAACGCTCAGTCTGGCTGGAGCTGAGGTCAAAGATTACTCGCATCGGGCTTTTAACATCTTGTTGTTGGGGTTTCCTTAGGTGCGGTTGCTGTGGGCACCTCGGTGTTGTGACCTGACCTGCCCCAAGTTCTGTCAGGGACAACAACCAGCAGCCGAGGCTGGTGGCCTGGTGGGTGGAAGCCGTTTACCGTGCAGTCGGAGGAGATGACTGTGGTGGAGGTGCAGAGGATAGTAGCGGCCGTTCTGCTGCTGGCGGTGCCATTTACATTATTCGCTCAGCCACTGGGTCCGGTCGAGCGTCACCTGCCACCCGTCTGCCTGCAACACTTCGTGTTGCAGCGTGCACGATTGTGGTGTTGTGCCCAGGTCGTGCCCGGTTTTTTTCTCGGCTCGTGCCCAGGTCGTGTTTGGCTCGGCTGGTTCGGTGCTCGTTTCGGAAAGTGCTAATGTTCCCTGTAATGCCATTTCTGCAGTCTGGGCGGACTTTATTTTGTATGGAATATTGTGCTGTGAGTGGTAGGTACCTCTTTAGATCTCAGGTCCCCTAGCAAAGAAGATCACAAGTGACCTAGCCAGTCAGCAGTATTTTCAGCGAGATGTTGTCATAACCCGCCACAGCAAATGATAGTAAAGCATATATTATCGAATGCCGTCGAACAAATGTGAACATTACGTCAAACTCGCGCGGGACCAGCATGTGCCAGTACCCAGCGGCGGGACATTGCACCGCGACAGTGTAGCCTCCCATGAACGATGCAAAACACGCCCATCAGCACACGTGACAGTCGCGTGGCTACGGTGCCCGACGCAGCGAAAGCCTGTAGCCCCGCGGGTCATCACGGCAGCCCCGCGGTCATCACCCCCCGCGGGTCATCACCGCAGCCCCGCGGGTCATCACCGGCAGCCCCGCGTCATCACCGCAGCCCCGCGGGTCATCACCACAGCCCCGCGGGTCATCACCGCAGCCCCGCGGGTCATCACCGGCAGCCCCGCGGTCATCACCGGCAGCCCCGCGGTCATCACCGGCAGCCCCGCGTCATCACCGGCAGCCCCCGGGTCATCACACAGCCCGGCAAAGACACGCGGGTTCATTCACCCGGCAGCCCCGCGGGTCATCACCGTCAGCCTGTCGAGCTTTACTGGCAGCCCCTTTCGCGAGCCAGCTCCACCTGACGCTTGCGGAGCTGCACGGTGCCAGGAGCCGCCGCCAGCACGTGCTCGTCGGTCAGCGGCAACAGCGACTGCTCCAGCTGGTCCTCCGTCATGCCGAACCACGTACAGCGGCCCTCCCTGCACACAACAGTGGGTAGCGACGGAGGCCACGTTAACATAGAGCGACCGCCGACACCCGTAAAACGAATTGCCAGATGGGAACAGGGCCCGCACAGGGACGGAAGTAACAGCTTAGACGGGTGCGCCGTAAGACCACGCCGTCAACCACCAGGATTGTCACGCCGGCAGAGTCAAACATCTCACATGCAGCCTGCCACAAATCGGGCAACAGCACACGCGTTCGGTGAAAACAGCTCACACAGCCGGCGGACAGCACACGCGGTGAGTGAAGACAGCTCACACAGCCGGCGACAGCACACGCGGTCGGTGAAGACAGCTCACGCAGCCAGCGACAGCGGTGGCGGCCGAGTGCGCCGCACGCGGGCTTAGTAGCCACTGGTGCGAGACAGCTCACCGTGTCAAGGACGCAGTCGCAGCCGTCAGTCATGGCGATTGGCTGCTGGACCCCGAGCCGCGTGGGCTTGCCCTCCAGAGCCAGGAGGAGCGGTAAGGAGCGTGCCCTCCTCTGTCAGCGTCGCCACCAGCACCCGCCCGTACAGGCAGAGGGTAGTGGCTGAAGTCCTCCTTGCGCAGCCTGTCCAGGCACATCGGACAGACGGGCCCTGCGGCGGAGCAGGCCACGACGTGTGAGCGACGGCCGCAGCGGCGGCTCAGTGCGGTGTGAGCCAGTGCCAGAGTCGAGGACCGGGCGCCGCTCAGCGCCGAAGGTGCGGTGCTTGAGCGCGGGTGACGTCGCTGGCAGTTAGTGGCGTCGAAGTAGTGATATAGCCGCTCCCCGAGTGGCGTGCGACGGGCAAAGCTAGTGGGATGGACACGGACAGAATAACATGTCGTCGGCTGGGGATAATGCTGCGGAACCCATGCGATTCAGTAATGACTTTGTTGACTTACTGAAATCCGCGATATTCCAAACGCATGCTTAGAACGTGAGTAGATAGTTTGCACCCTGACGATGCCACACCACTTGCTCCCTAGTACCTGTCACACACTGAAGTCAGTCCAGGTGGCCGATTTTACCCTGCTATTTCACCGCTGGCTCCTCGCCACCACATTAATGACATGCTTCACGTCTCTCACCGTCGTCGTCCTGGTCGTCCTTCCTCTCCTCGTCCTCTCGGCCGTCGGCCGCCGGTGTGTCCTGCTCTGCACCTCTGAAGCCGAGGGGCGGCGCCGCCAGACGAGGGGCCACGCCCTCCGGGCCCTCCGGCAGCTGCGGTCTGTCGTCCCGTAGGAAGAAGCCGCGGAACTCGGACCCGGCTGACAATGGACCGGGTTGGCTGTGAGGCACGAGCGTCGACTGCACGTCACCGACAGGAGAGCTCGTCCGGACCGGGTTGCCGTGTACACGCGGTGACCAAGACACTGGAGCTGTCGACTGCCTTCGTCATCACCGTTTTGAGAAGTCTCGTCTAGCGGCCGCACTCATGACCGATACGCTGCGAAGCAGACAGCTCGTGCAACAGACAGTGAGAGCTTTTAGGCGAGAAACAGCGTGCGGCGGGCGGCAGCGGAAGCGGTGCCGACCAACTCACCGCTCAGATGATAGCTGCTCGCCGGCAACCTGGACTGCCACGGCTTGATCAGCTCCGGTAATAACTGCCTGTTCGGCGAACACGCCTCCAGCCACATTCCAGATCCCCAATGTGCACGCAAGCGGCGTGCGATGTTCATCTTTACCGTAGTTGGCCATCCCCGGTCTACGTGGACGACACTCGTCCACCAGATTCACGAGAACAAACAGCCAGCTTGCCCGGTATTACAGTGGTCCTCATTTTCTAGCACGCGAATCCACATAAACCGGCAGAGAAACATGCAGGGACTATCGGCGCAGGCTGATAGGACATGGCCGTATTAATAGCCGTCATGCTGAAGTAGACCCCATGCAACGAAGGCGACGGGCTGAGCAATGTAGCTTGTCACGCACAAAGATCAACGCCAGGCGCGTGCCTGTTTCAAGATAACCCAGTGAGGGCATTGGCAGAGGGGCCAGCCTGGCGCGGACCTATCACTTGCTCAGCCTCGCAGGCAAACATCGTCGTATTCAACGTGTAAAGGCCTCGAGGCAGGCGGCGGCACTGCACTCTGCCGCAGCATAGTCGACAATAAAGTGCTACTGACAGCCATTGTTGCATTTATTGTCGATGTTACAGCGAGGTAAACGTCTCCGACTATATATCAATCGACCGGGTTGTGCACAAAGTTCACTGAAAAGCGTGATTCAGCACACGGCAGAGATGCCGAGTGAAGTGACAGCTCAAAGCGCAAGCAAAGCGTAGCGGCTCAACAGCTGATAACGCGATATCCAGCAGCGTGATTGAGGTAACTTCACTCAGCTCAGTCTCATCTATATCCTTCATGGTATGATTACCAAAGAAACAAACCGGACAAAACATTTACAAACAGAACATCGTGGCGACCGGCCGGCATTGTAAGGAGTCAAAAGCTCGTGTCCATTCAAAGACGTGTGGTGCTCGGGTGGTAACCAATAGCGTCCATAACCGTTCTTAGCACCAAACCGCGATCACACTGACAGGGACGCGCGAGACGCAGCTAGAAACCCTCGATGCCATCGATGTCTCATTAATGACACAACCCATATGAAAAAAATTACAGAAGACTGCTGTCTGTGTCTTCCCCAATAATCACAAGCGTCCTCAGTCCTTGTCGTTTGGCAGACAGCGCGTCCTACTGAGCTCAGCAGGGCAGTGCGGCACAGGCAGCGTTACCTCCTTGCTGGTCGTTCTCGAACACAGGCAGTGGAACCGGGTCAATGGGCCACGGTAGAACTGTGTCGCAGTTGACGTCCAGGGCGTACGACTGAAGGGACCCAAAAGCAATTCAGTTGCGCCATACAGTATCGTCGGACGACAGAGCACACTTTCGATCAACCAACTTCGACAGCCGACCGCAGAAAGAAGAGCAGAGCCATGATTCTATGCTCGTAAATACGTCTTGCCTGTGCAATTATTCGGACCACACGCGTAGAGAAAATATATTCAGGTGATATGTGGCTAGATGAAAGGTTTTGATTTATCAGTCTGAAAACAAACTGCATAGTTCTAACGTGTTTTGCATAGTTTGCAGCCTGATGCAGATTGATGCCGTTTGCGTAAGGGTTTTTTTCTCACCGTGCTCCGGGCGAACTCCGTCTGGTAATAATCATATACGCTGGCCACCGCACTTTTTGGCATCTTCCACCTCCTGCTCCCGCTGTACGATGATTGCTGAAACAGCGCTCCTTTCCATCCAGCGAGTCGAAGTAGAAGACCACCTTGTTGTTGTTGACCTCCCAGCGCTTCAGACCTGAATGGAGCATGTTTCCGGTCGTCAGAAAACATGATAAGCCTCCGAAACGGTAGGTAACTCCTACAGCTTATCTAAAGAGCCTGGCAACTCAGATCAAACCCCATGTCATGTTGTTTCATGTGTCAATAATTGCTAGACAAAGAATGTTATTCCTAGTGTTGGCAGAACTAATTCAAATTAGACGACCTGCTCGTTAAAAACCGACTACTCAGATCTGACGACCTGCTAGTGGAAATAGACAACTCAGATCAGACAATCTGCTAGTTAAAACAGACCACTCTTATTCGACGAACTGCTGGTGAAAACCGAAAACCCAGATCTAGCGACCTGTCTGTGAAAACAGGCAATTGTGGCAACGGCAAGACATATGTCTACTATATGCACCAAATGCAACTTACCCAACTCGACGTTCTGCTTGAGGTCATTCAGACTTCCCTTGTTGGGAATGAACCCGCTGACCATGTCCAACTCGACCACAGCCATATTGGTTTCGCTATCCTCCTTCAGGTAGCTGACGCAGATGTCTTAAAGAGCACAACATTGTTCTGTTATCATGACAACCAGGCAGGCATGCTGTCATGTGTAAAGCCTGTTGAGCGAGAGATGCGTTCGAGCACTTTTTAATTGGATTAGGCACTGCAGTGTCTTCTGATGCTTTCACAGAACAGGAACCACTGCAAGCTGGTCAAGATCCTCCTCCCATGACATTCCCTCGCATCGCACTACATATTTAAGACCAAACCGAGCAGAGGCTGACGAGTGGTCTGATGACCAGGGTGAGACAGGAGACAGCTAGAGAAGTCCATAGGCGCGTCACTCGTCTCACCTATGGTATGCTTCAGACACTCCCGCTGGTTCATTTTGGGCTTGGCAGCCACGTTGATCGTCAGTGCGTCGTTTGGATTGGCTGTATACACGTTGTATTTCAGCGAAGCCTGGCGAAACAACCGGCTGTGTTACTTGTCATGCGCGTGGTGGACGTACGTCGTCATGCATTGCTGGAGCTAATTTGTATGGTGCAGCAGAAAAGGGCATGTCTCGTGGTTCGCATTCCCCGCGTGTTATCATTGAACTGAAGGTCATTTACTCAGGCTCTCGGTGAATCACATCAGCCGTCGAACAGCTGACGCGATAACGCTCTAAAGAACACGGTGTTCAGCCCTCACACAGTTTAGTGACATACATTCTCAGCAGATGCATTCGAGGCTGGCTCATGCTGTACCTCCTCACTGAAAATGGACAACTGGTGATCCGGAAGAAGGGGCATAGTTTCGCAACATTAGTTGAGGGGAGGCGCAGGCCACCCCCCCCCCCCTTTTCAACGGAAAAGCAAACTACGCCCCTGCATGGACGCCTTACAGCCTATTATCGGCACGAACGGACCGGAATGAGGACACGTCTGGCACCTAGACCGCACTGCCGGCGGTGCATTCGATGCCGGCTCTGATGAGAACTAGGGTACATCTGGCACCATCTGAACTTCCCGTGCGTGTGACCCGCTTTAGTGCACATCATTTATCATAAAGTTCCTACTGCGGGTATGCCAGCAACTGCAAGTATGCTAGCACAAGCCAGCAGCAACAGATTGCTCTCCTTCCTCTCCCATTCTTCTCTCTCTCCCTCTCTCTCCTCTCTCTCTCTCTCTCTCTCTCTCTCTCTCTCTCTCTCTCTCTCTCTCTCTCTCTCTCTCTCTCTCTCTCTCTCTCTCTCTCTCTCTGTCTCTCTCTCTCTCTCTCTCTCTTCTCTCTCTCTCTCTCTCTCTCTCTCTCTCTCTCTCTCTCTCTCTCTCTCTCTCTCTCTCTCTCTCTCTCTCTCTCTCTCTCCCTCTCTCTCTCTCTCTCTCCCGCTCTCGCTCTCTCTCGCTCTCTCTCTCTCTCGCTCTCTTTCTCTCTCGCTGTCTCTTTCTCCCTCGCTTCTCTCATCCTTCTCGTCCCATCGTAATTCTCCCGGTGCAGCTGAACACTGACCTGACCTGGGCGTAACCAGTATCATCGGGGCCTCACTTTGGTTTGCCAGAGGTGCTCCTCCACTGACCTGCACCAGGGCGCAGCCGGCGCCACCTCGACCTTACCATAGTTTACCAAGCAGGGCTTTACTTCTGACCCTTACAAAGGCGCAGCCGGCACCACCCCGACCTTACCGTGGTTTAACACGGTTGCTCCACCACTGACCTGCACCAGGGCGCAGCCGGTGCCCTGTGCTCTGACTTGGACGTGACCTGGCAGCAGTGTGACGTCACGAGTTTGCATCAGTAGCAGACTGTCCGCCGTTACGCTGATGACGTCATTCAGCGAGCCGTCATCGGAGACGTGTACTCGCAGGTCGGCGCTGCTCGAGCGAGGCAGGTCGGCCGAGAAGGCGGCCAGTGCCTCCAGCGCCAGCACCGTATCCTGCCACGACCGCCCGCCAGGTGAGCAGCGCACAGGACATTGGAGAACCCATTCGATGAGAGTGAGCCGGACACAGGGGTACGACAGAACCCTCCAAGGGTAGTGAGTACAGCACATGGGTATGACAGTCCCCTCCCTGGGAGTGAGCAGTACACACAGGTAAGGCAGAACCCTCCGAGGGGTGAACAAGCCATACAGATACAATAGACTTATCCGTGGGGAGTGAACAAACCACACAGGTACGACAGGCCCCTCCAAGGGTAGTGAGCAGAACACATCGGTATGACACTCCCCTCCCTGGGAGTGAGCAGGACACACAGGTACGGCAGACCCCTCCGTCGGGAGTGAACAGGACAAACAGGTACAACAGGCCCTTCTGAGGGGGGAAGGGGCAAATAAGCCACACATGTACGACAGACAGCAGGCAATTTGTGGCAGTGTCGCGACCAGCTAGTCCGGCAGACACATGACGTCCACCCCAGTGATTTCTATGACCTGCGTGGACACGAAGCCGCCGCGACTGTTGCGCTGCTGGGTGATCCAGCGCACGGCACCCAGCGCATCGCTGAAGTGTTCGCTGCTGTCGTCACCGGCTTTCTCCAGCAGCTTCATCGTCAGGATGTTATAGGCACCCATTTCTACGCTGAGCGCCCGATTCTCGTCAGACCCTGGTGACATACGCCACGATAAGGTTTTGAAAGTACGCTGGTTAACCGCTGTTCAGGATAGACCAGCAATTGAGGAAGGTGCGTTCAGTACTGTACATTCAGTAAAATGCGGCCAAATGGGGTCATATTTCATATTTGCTCACTGCAGAGTTTCGTCAAAACGCACGAAAGAGTACAGAACACACACAACTGTGCACACTCAGCCTTCACCAACGCATTCTGCAAGTATATTGGGACAATTGTGAAAGCACAGCAGCTATTACAAGCTGATTAACTAGCCTTCGGACGTCCACAGCACCGCTCCATCCAGCGAGTGTTACTGTTGTGCTGGTGCGGCGGGATGACTCTCACCTTCGTTGCGCCAGTGCACCAGGCCCTCCTCCCTGGTGGCGCGGCTCTTGAGCTCTGTCAGACCCAACCGCGCCTCGTCCAGGTGGCCGGCCACGGCGCGCGCGTGCGTCAGCAGCGTCAGCGTGTACAGGTCGGAGCTGATGTCCTGGGAAAGGCACATGGCGACGGATGAGCGGCGACCAACATGACATTCCTCGGACGGTGAGCGGTGGCTGACATGGCATTCCACGGAGGGTGAGCGACGGCCAATACGGTCCCGGCAGTAGCTAACCCACGGACGGTGAGCGGCCGCCAACACGGTCTCGGAGGGTAGTTATCCCACGGACAGTGGCGGTGTCCAACACGGTCCCGGCGGTAGCTAACCCACGGACGGTGAGCGGCGGCTAGCACGGTCCTGGTGGTAGCTAACCCACGGACGGTGAGAGGTGTCCAACACGGTCTTGGCGGTTAGCTACCCCTACAGCGCTAAGTCGCTCACGTTGTTGTGCATACAAAGCAACAGGTTGTAATAAGAACTAGTGGAATGTGTCCATGCACAGGGTGGTAGACATAAAATGTGAGCTGTTTAAAACCGATGTTGTGGTGCTTAATCGGACGCCTCACTACATAGTGCGGTATGGTATAGTGCATGTGTCCATCGGGAACACAACCACAACCAGACACCGCCAGAGAACGGCGTGAGGAGGCAGGCTGTCCTTCCCCACTGTAAGCAAAGCATGTTTTACTAAGCACCATAGAGGACTCCTTTATTTATTTTATGGTGAGCACTCTGCGAGCTCCGACCCTATCCAACCACCTCTCCCTATTGAAGAATTTCTTGCTGTGCCCTGACTGTAACGGTGTAAGTTACTTCAGTTATGGATCTGTTTATCGCTTTCTGCACATAACATCCGTTTCTGAAACATTTTTGTCTGGTATTCCGTTGTATGGTGAGGAAAAAGGGAGCGAGTATTATTGTTACAGCAGGTGAAAGCCATTATTACTCTGGCCACAAGAAAATTTGCTGATTAATTTCATGCAACAGTCGTTCTCGGCTGTTCTTAGGCTCGTCCCGCGGACCCTACGGGCTTGTTGCGGGGTACCAAGCCAAAGGCTAGGTCATGAGGATGTAAGGTAAACCAAATGTGGAATATTACGTTTGTATGTACGAACTGAGTGACTGAGCACGGTACCTAGTGGCAATACCTCAAAAAGGTTTTGGAACCATGTAGGCCAAAGCCACTAAAATAAGATGAGGCATCAAAAGCAAGGCTCTAGCATGTATCGCACAGTGAAGAAATGCCGACCTACACAAATAACCAACGCAGTTGCCGCGCTCTTCAAACTCATTAGCTCAAAACTCAACTGCCGATCTATCTAGAGCCAATCACGGCGCCCAACTCTTTTCCAGATACTGCCTACAGAAATCTGCCTATCTGGCTGCCTGCCAGGTACTTTTGCAGACACAACCTCCAGCGATCGCACGTGTCTCTGAGCCGTTGGCTGACCTGTGTCAGGCAGCGGAAGGCGCCGTGGACGGTGTTCTCGCCCAGCTCGACCCCCGACTGCAGCAGCGCGATGGCGATGTAGGCTGTCAGCGCCTGCTGGCCGCCGGACCCAACGCCACCCTGAAACACGTCAGCCTTGCTCGTCTCCGCAGGCATCGGCTGGGTCCACACAGGGAACAACGGCTATCACGTGAGGATCGGGGCAAACGGCACTGGACTTCGCCGTTGGCGGACGGGTCAGAGGACAACCGGCCAAGGGTGACAGCATGCAAACACGGCTGCACAAGTATGAGTGGTTAGTACGCAACACGGGAAGGCACACATGGATCCCTCCGCCGATGAACCGATGTAGTGCGCCCCACCTTCCCCCCAGATCCAGCGGTAAGTACATGTGCTTTTCAATGCGCTCAGTTGTAGGTACTTGGTTAAAGGTAGTTTGAAGGCGAACATATGACAGCGTGCCATGGGGGCAAGGGAGTCAATACAGACAGATACTAGATATTACCTTCATTTCTTTGTGGAGGACCGTCCCCACAGATGGGAAGCAGCCGCTACCCAATTGATGGGATTCGATCCATCGCACGCTTCCTTCCAGGTCAGCCTCGTCGATGAAAATAAACTTCTTCGCGTCACCGAACGACTTGATGACAAAGCCGGTCAGCCACATGGAGCCTGAGTCGTCCGACTTGCCAAATGCCGAGTAGGATTTGTCCTCGTGACGGTAGCCCAGCTCGCGCTGGTAGCCTGGGGCGAGACACGGGTCACGAAGGTCACGGTAACGAGCGCGCTGGAAGTCTCACGCGCTGGATGTCTCACCAGTTTTGGGCTCAGCTGTCCATGAAGGTCTCCTAGAAGGGGCTTTATCTTAAGGAAATAGGTGTGCATTTAATAATCTTACTGCTCTGGTGGTGCGAACTACCATGAGCAGTTTAAATCAGAAGACTTGTTCGGTTGCTTGGTGCAAAATACCAAGAAACGATAGCTTGGTTCTGACACATGCCTGATCATTTGGGTTCACAATTTGGTATGTGAATCTCATACTAGTTAGGACTTCAGTAATAAACGTTACATAGAACGGGATAAAACAACTTCAGGGCACGACGCTGACTATGATGTGTCAACTTTTACTAATTTGTACCGGACATCTGTGTGCTAGTGCAATATTATTCCCAACCTGATCAACCAAGTACCTGATTTCATAAATCTGGCAAGTTTATCCTTGATTTGCTCAGTCAGTTGACCAACTGCAGTCAAATACTTCATGACGTGAATGTTGGGAGCGAAGAGCACCATGTTCTGTTCGCCGCAACCGGTTGGCTGCCGTACCAGCGACTCCAGGTTCTGAGAAGTACAGAAAGCTTGAACATATCGGCTTTGGCTTAAAACGGCACAGTTAACGCATCCATGATAATGAATGGAATCACATTAATGACGTAAACGAAAGTAGCTAAAGTAAAAGTGGGACCGTAGCCATACTTTACACAGCTGGGAGGATAAGGATGTGCCAACAGAGAAGGCCATGACCTCTACAACAGGTTACTCGATAACTACTTCAGCCTCACGCGGATATATTACGTCGAACACATCCAGCGAACATCTATCATCGAGTATAGTGCGCAAGTGACGTACGTCAATGCTGGGTCCCAGCAGGTCTCCGACGACGGCGATCTGAGCCCGCTCGGAGTCGGGCACCAGGTCGGCCGGCAGAAGCAGCGGCCAGTCAACCTCCCGTCTGTTCGGTCCGCTCGACAGGTTGGCACCCTCCGCTGCCGGCGTACGGGTCGGGTCAGGGAAGCGGTACCCAAACAGGGCGAGCCCTACTGCGGCACAGGACACGCCCGTAGCCATGCGGCGGGACGATGAAAGCCGCGTCGCGATCAAGGAAACAACGCCAACACACGGCTGAGCCTACGTGCGTTCCAACACTGCCAGCAACGCCGCGCCCTCCAGACCGTCACTAGCCTGCAGCTACACCGTCACCGGCATGAGTCGTTCCGTTAACATCCGCTTTGGCAGCGCACTCACGGCTGATGCACATGAAGAAGGAGTGGATGACTTCACGCTCGAAGCCCTCCGGCTCCACCAGAATCGGCCTGGTCACGGCGTCCCTGCGCAGATGGTAGTCGCGTTGACTGCATGCATCCACGGCAAAATGGGATGTCGGTTGAGAGTAGTGACGCCTTCAGATTTCATTGAATCAAAAAATGAAGGCATTTTGATTTTTTCAGCAAATATCTGTATGTCATTAGAGGACGTGCATGCAATAGGAAACACTACCGGTTCATTTGCAACTTTTAACACCCCACGCAAGCTAGGGTGTCTGGGCTCATTTCTCGGTTACGCACACCTGCCGTGTTTAAAGCTGACTCACACGGCGTGCGCCACACTCCGTACTCCCGCAACGCGTAACGCCACGCACCTGAAGTAGGGCACCACCCCTGAGCCACACTCGGCGGGGAAGTCGGAGTACACTTCAGCTACCACGGTGATGTTAACGTCGCCGAGCTGGCCGGGCCGCAGCCGGTACGGCACGACCTCGGCCACGCCGGTCGACACGCACGAGGTCACCACCGGCGCCGAGAGCGTCTCGAACTCGTCCGACGCCACCAGTGTCAGCTTGACCTGCGGCCACAGGCGCCGGTGCATGTTTAGCGTCCACAGGGCCGGTGGGATATCGCGTGGAGCCAGTAGTGTCCGAGCGGACAGCTAGTACAGCTAGCGTTGGATTCAGTCTTATCCAGCATGTGGCGTGTGGTGACGCCGAGCACCGACAGAGATAACACGAGCGAGCAAGATTGCACGAGCGGAACAGAGCGCTCAGGAGAGCAGCGAGGACCCACCGGCAGCGCCTCTTCGTTGTAGTTGAGCACCGAGACCTTGAGCACGAGCGTCTCGCCGCGTTTCACCGAGTACGGCAGCGTGTAGCTGACGAAGAACGGCTGGAAGCTGGTGAGGGAGGCTGACGGCGCCACGCCAAGGCCGGCCGTCTCCGAGCTGCACACGGCTCCGCCTACCCACTCGGTGATGGTGTCCGGTACTTTCTGTGTCAGCGTCACCGAGCCGTCGTCCCTGCCCGGTGCGGAGGTGGCCGGCTGTGACACTAGCCAGGCGTCCGAGGAACGGCACATAATCGTAGCTTGATGGTGTAACTGTCCTAGTTCCTGCATGTGGCATGGTGAGTTTTAATGCGAACATGACTAACGGCACAGAATCGTGACTTGATGGTGTAGCTGTCCTAGTTCCTGCATGCGGCATGGTGAGCTTTAATGCTGAAAAGGCAAGGAATTGTGACTTGATGGTGTAACTCTGTCCTAGTTCCTGCATGTGGCATGGTGAGTTATAATGCCGAAAACGACCGACGCTTAAGGTATAAGAATGTGTTGTGTAAAGGGGAGTATCAAGAAATTGGTGCTCTGTATGATGATAGTGCTCAAAATATGCGACTTATTACCTGTCATGTGTGATCTGACCATGCTCATGACGTATGCTAGTTAATGCATATTTCTGGTTACATTTTGAAAATAAAAACGCATCATGCCCCCCTCCTTAAAACAAAATTATGATTTTGTTTTGGTTGCATTATCGTGTAAGCTGTTGAGGCTTTCAACTAATCGGTTAATGTGCATCCAACATACTACTGGCTGGTTACATGTACATGTGAGCATACTCAAACGACATGAAACGATAGGTAATCAGGACAGCTTTGAACAAACCCGTGAACAGCTTCAGAGTACGAGGATCAACGGTTCAATTCCACATTCAACGCAGCCTCGTCACAGTCAGTGCGCCCATGTTCGTCCACTGACCCGACCGTGTGGAGATCGAACAGCCACGTCTCGGGGAAGTAGGTGCGAACCACGTCAGGCACCTCGGACGGAGGCGGCTCCGGGGCCGATCCGGGAGGCGAATCGAGCACCGGCGTCGGGCCTCCTGGTAACCGGAGGAACGTTAGCACGTCACCTCAGCGCTTCTAATACATTATTCTTTTCTTCCTAGATGTTAGCTTAAAAATGCATTGCTTTGTTTTCCGGACTGAACTTAGCGACAGTTAAGTGAGTTCGCAATACATTAGATAGCTAGACGAGTCGCCAGGGAGTCATTGATCATGACCGTCATCATCATCGATGGTTAACGGCGGCTTGACGCCCCCCGTCGGCTCAAGGCAAGGCACCGTTTGGTGACAGAAAGGCAGCGGCGACGCCAAAACACTACAACTTGTAACTTTGTACCAAGCAAGATAAATGGGCAGCGATTAAGCGCTCCATCACAACAAAGACGAAACATACGGTGACTTGCATGCACCAGGTAAGCAAGAATCGATGCATGCCTTTAGCTCTGTCCGCGTGGCAACTCAACTCGTTCTCGGCGTGCTGTGAGAATGTTTGCCCAAGCATGCAGCAGGCGGATCAGCTATGAGTCAAGATTTCATTTTGGTGGAGGAGTGCATGAACATTATTGAGACGCACGATGAAAATAAATGCGGCGCGGATATGGCAGTTTAGGACATGCATGACGTAATCATTGACGAGAATGTTGGACCGTGTGTGACCAAGGACTGAAAGTGATGTATATATTTTAGGACGTACTCCACTTTCTACACTAGCTGATGCAAAATTAATGCAGCTTGCTCAATCACATTCAGCCGCAAAATCCATCTTTCCATGGCTTTCAATGCTCGTGCGCAATGATTAACTGGAGGCGAAACACTGCTGGCAGCCGGGGCCGGTGTCATGGCTGAGCCAGCGACCGTCTGTACAGATGCAGTGGAAGCGATCTGTACAGATGCAGTGACCTTCATCGCATTGCACGACGCAGGCCTCGCGAGCAGCGGATGTGCGGCAGACGCGGTGCAAAGCGGGTCGGCGCTTCCGCGGGCCGACGCCGGCCGGCACCGACCGCGGCCCGGCCCCAGCCCGGCCCCGAGGGTGAGCTCACGAGCGAGGCAGCGTTCAAGAGCTGGGCCGGGACCAAGCCGGCGCCGGCCCAGTCGGGTCACCGCGGTCGGCGCCGCCGTTTGCTGGTAGGGCAAGCGGCCGGGCCGGTGAAGTGGGCCCGCGGACGCAGAGGACGGGCCGTCTATCTACCGGGCGCAGCCAGCTGAAACCGTGGCTCGCTGGCGCTGGCCTCAAGATCGAACGCCGCTGTGCGCATCAGTGGACAGGAGATGTCGTTCGCAGCTCCACAGCGGGTACGAGGAGCGGCGGCTGAAGCACGGCCGCGTCTCCACCAAGACGTCGGACAATGTCAGCCAGCCGCCGTCCTGAAACCGTCCGACGTCGACAAGCCGCAGATCAGGAGACGTTCATCGCCGCTCGGCTTCTCTCTTGAAAGCTGCCGATGCCAACCGCATACTGCGCTCTGAAGTCGGCCAGCGTCATCTGTCCCATCCCGCCTTTAGGTGGTCACCGTCGAAAGACTTGCGGTTAGCACCGTCACGCGTTGACATGGGGGCGCCGACATCGACCCTCAGAACCATGCTGACCACTGAATACCAGTCAACTGGAGATTACAACGGCTGCCATCCTGTTAGACCCCAGACATTGCGAGTGTTGGTAGACAGGATGAAAAAAACTTTTAATTTACTGTATATGATCGGTGACAAAAACTGCCATTTTTGCAAACCAATTGATGACAAAATTGCGAATATGAAAACGAATTGCAGCAGACAAGACCATACTACAGCACACTACCCCAGCTCGACGAGACTAAAAGCTTACTAATGGTCTGTACTTGCTAACGGCCTGCAGTGTGAGTGCATGTCGAAATGACGTTTCGCTGTATGAGCAAGTTTAGCCATAAAATGCAGCTTTGGAAAGATAAGTATGTGTGATGCAAAATGCGGCTTTGAGGTAAGAGCCCGATCATCTCTCACGTAGGCCTCTCGCATAGCCCGTTGCACCTCAGGACTTGGCACACTGATCGGTAGACAGGGATCAATAGAATCCATTTGGTTGTCATCATACTACATATAAAGCTGACTGAGGGTGCTACGACATTCAAAAATGCCCGTTTGCATCCGTTGATACCGATATTGCATGGGTTTTGCTCCAAATAATTGGGAATCATGTTAGGAAGTGCGAGTTTTGCACCGGCAATGATCATGACAAGATAATGGAGGTCGCCAACGCCTTCAGCTGATTGTCACGATGACGTCACAAAACCAAAAATAACATTGTTTCAGGTGCTTGAAAAACATATCATCGATAAGTGCAGAGGCTCCAGGGATGCAGTTTTGCAAAGTACGTAGGGGTTGAGGGGCGCAAAGGAGAAGGGGCGGGGGTGCAGGAAGTAAAATGTCTGAGACCTGACTCCGATGATGGCACAAAAATGTTTTTCTTCCCAGATATGTGGCTGACAGCAGGGGTGTAGTCTCCATCATTAATTTTGGGTGCTGAACCCCTAATTTACGACAGATGGAAAATATGGACTACTAATAAAACTAAAATAGCAGACTGCATCGCTGGATGGATGTCACAGTTTCGCCTCACCCACCCCCCCTTTCACCCCCCCCTACCCCCAACGAATAGAGAACTATAACGCCTTTAGGCTGGTTATGTTAAGTACGCCTTTATCTGATGATTTTGCTAGGTCAGACGCTAACCTTCCTTCAGTGCTTGGAGGCCAGGAAATAAAACTTCAGTGCAAATGAACTTCCCGAAACGAAATTGTTCGCTGCTTATGCCGCATCACATTAATTTGTTTTGCTTTTTGTGGTTTACTGCCTTAATATGTATATTACGATGGTTTCTGAAGGATTTGATTCCAGGTGACAATTCAGACGGTTCCAAACTTCGTCGGTGACGGAAAGGTACTTTTTCAGCAATGTTGGGAGATTATAAAGCAATCTCTCCAGCAGACGCATGTAAATAATACTTCAGTTAACATACATTACATCAACTAACCCGGCTCGACTCCCTCACCTCACTTAAGCTGATGATAATTCGGAGCGGAAAAGAGTAATATGGAGATAGCTCATGCAGCATTGCCAGCTTCTGGTTCTGCACAGTTTGAACGAGTTCACATCTCAAATTGTTATGTTTACGAGAGGTGTCTTGCCATGACGGACCAAAAGATATCTAGGAAATGAGCAGGCGCGCTCGCATGATTCATCACGGTGATAAAAGGGACACCCTAAACGGCCTGCTCCTTCAGAGTATGGTCACGCAGGTCCCCAACTTTGCAGACAACAAGAGAGCATGTTGGGTTAAGGATCGCTGTCCGCCGGACGTGTCGGCCTGGTCTCTGGTTAGGATGAACCTGTCGTTGCTTTGTGGAGTGACTTGTCGAATAGCAGTGATTGTAGGTCGGTGTCGGGTTGCGAGCAATGGCTTCGGAAGTGAAGTTCATCGCCCTGTACAGGTACCCACCAACCGAGCTACCACCAAGCTATGTACTATACACAATAGCACAACGATGTTAAAGCCTCGTGCGGAATTAGCATTCACTATTAATCACTGTTATCATCATTAGTTACTTCAGATTAGTTATACGAAATAAGTTACACCACAATATCCCATTTTCGCAGACCATTTCTTGTCAAAGTCAGTTACTTCTCTGAGGAATAAGCGATCCGGTGAGAAGGTCCTCCAGGCGAGTAATAGCGGCGCCGGTTATACCAAGTCCGCTGCCGGGAGCGGACGGTACAGGCACGAGTTTCCGTAACTAGGTCAGAGAGCACCAGGAAGGAGTTAGTCTGAAACGATAGATGATACAGACTAGCACACCTTCGAATTGGGCCACGCTTCAGTGCAACGAATGCCATGGTGAGAGCCGGAATGAAAGAAACACAGCACAGACGAGTTCAACTTTCTCACGCGGATGCCTAAAAAGAATACATTATACTTGCCCCCCAAAATTTGTCACGTATCAGGTATCTGGCAATGCTGAAAACAAGGGCGAAGATCTGCGTCAATGATAGGGGGAGGGGAGGAAGTGCTGGCCAAGAGCCTGACAACCTCACTTCTCTCCATAACTGTGTTTTTCAACCATTGCGCCCAGTTCGTGACGAAGAACGACAATTTTAATTACATTTGTATCTAGCACTAAAAAGCAAGGAGCATGTAATTCTTTCTTTGAATGGAAACAAGTTGTCCCCGAAATAATGCGTGAAAAGGTAGGCTTGACCAATATCCAATCATATCTTCAGCTTCAGTTATACCTCAGCTCAATATATTGGGAAAATCAAGTCCACAATGTCGGCTCAGACCCTGCTTCGACTAAAATAGTGCAAAACAATGAAAGAACTAAGTGTCACACAGACTATCTTTCAGGGCATATTGGTGCCACAAGAATACCAAA